AAGTTTACTAAATACTTTTCAGTCCACGTTATGACACCAAAATTTGTGTAGGAGATTTCATTGTTATTTACAGTTCATTTTTTTTAAAAAGGAAAGCTATTTTGGAAAAAACAGAATCACATACTTGAAAGAACCTTGAAAGATCATCAGGTTCTTGACAGAGGAGTACAGCTGGCAGCCTCCAGCTGTTGGCACCTACAGAATCTATCTCAGATTTCTAGCCAGGGTCACACTCTTCCAGGGCATCCCCCAACCAGTAACTGAGCATGGCAGGTACCAAGGCCTGGCCCTGTGAACCTAACTCACGATTCCTTTCCTCCAGAGCTCCCTCTTAAGTTAGCCAGGACTTTTGTCAGATCTACCTAGGAATCTAAAGCTCCTCCTGCCCAATCCTACTTCCACCTCCCATTCCTATCCCAGGGATCAGATCAGCATCCTTTACATAGGCCTTCTCAGCCTAAACATGCTTCCTCCTCTTTTTATCTTCCACAGGCATTATGCTGTAAATATATGCTAATATATATTTAGTTATTGGTATTGATATAACTACTGAAAAAGATATAACATATTTGCAATTTGTGTATCTGACAAAGGACTTATATCCAGAATATATAAAGAACCTTTAAAATACAATAAGACAATCCAATTTTTAAAAAATGGGCAGACTTCATTTAAAAAGATACACAAAAGGAAAATAAGCACATGAAAAGATGTTCAATATCATAAGTTATCTGTAAAATTAAAATCAAAATTAAAATGACAGTAAGGTACCACACACACCTACGAGAAGAGTTAATGTTAGAAAGACCAACAATTCCAAGTAAGGAAGAGGCTATGGAACAGCAGACACTCACACACAATGCTAGTGGAAACATACAATTGTAGAAATGTAAAAAATAATACAATCACTTTAGAAAACGGTTTGGCAGTTACTTATAAAGTTAAATTTTTACTTCCCACGTGATGCAACAGAATTCTACTTCTAGGTATTTACCCAAGAGAAATGAAAATGTGTACACAAAACACTTGTATAAGAATGTTTAGAGCAGCTTTATTCACAATAGTAAAAAACTGGAAACAATCCAAATGTACAAAAGGTCAATGGACAAATTATGATATATCCACACAATGAAAAGAGTTCTTAGCAATAAAAGAGAACACCCTACTGGTACATGCAGCCCCATGAATGAATCTCCAAAACATGACATACTTATAAAAGGACACACATGATTCCATTTCCATGAAGTTCTAAAACTGGCAAAACTAATCTTGAGTGATAGCAATTGGACCAGGGGTTGCCTCAAGGGGTGAGGGATTGACTGCAAAGAACTATGAGGGAATTTTTCTACGGTGATAGAAATTTCTCTACCTTGATTGGATGGGTATTTGTCAAAATTCATCAAACTGGGCACTCAAAACATATGCATATTACTGCATGTCAGCTTTACTCAATAAAGTTGATTTTTAAATATATTCCTAAAGATACATGCACCTCTATGTTTATTGCCACATTATTTACAATATCCAAGATATGGAAGTAACCAAAGTGTCCATCAATAGATGAATGGATAAAGAAGATGTGGTACATATATACAATGGAATATTTTTCAGTCATAAAAAAACTCTGCCATTTGCGGTAACATGAGTGGACTTAGACGGTATTATGCTAAGTGAAATAAGCCAGGCAGAGAAAGACAAATACCATATGATTTCACTTACATATGGAGTCTATTAAAAACAAAACAAAACAAAATGAACAAAACAGAAATAGACTGATAGCCTCTGAGAAGTGACTGGTGGTTACCATGGGAAGGGGGTGGGGGGGGGTGAAATAGGTGAAGGGGATAAATAATACAAATTAGGCTCAGGGATGAATGTACAGCATAGAAAATATAGTCAGTAGTTCTGTAACATCTTTCTCTGTTGACAGATAAGTAACTACACTCATTGGCATAAGCATTTAATAATGTATATAACTGCTGAATCACTGTTGTATACTTGAAACCAATGTAATTCTGTATATCAACTATACTTTAACAAAACATATGAAAAACCCATTCTTGCTAGGTATAAACACCATACTAAATACATACTAAACAAATACAGAAATACTCTGTTGAATAGTATTTGTTGGTATTCCAAGTGGAATATTTATCTCATTTACATGTAGATGGTTCTTGCTAGAAAATAGAGGCTATACGTTCTGTTTATTTTCCTTATATGCAGAGGCCTTATCAAATTCCCTTATTCTGTTGTTTTTAACTAAAACTCTTTGGGTTTTCTAGTCATACAATCATATAAACAGCAAGAAGAGATAACTTCATCTCTTATTAGCCAACATTTATGCAGATTTCTTTCCCTCTCTTACTGCATTCATTGATATCCAGAAGAACTGTAATAATGGTGATTACCAGATGGCCTCTCTTTTATCTACCTTAAAGGAAAGATCTTAACATCTGAGTGTTCAGACTATTACTTACTGTTGGATATTTTATAGTCTTTATCAATGTGTGGTTTCTATTCTTTTATTTTAAAAATGATGTTTGAATCTTTTCAAATGACTTCTCAGCTTAGATAACGCATGGCTTTTCTCCTTTAAATTGCTGATGCAATGCAATGTGCTTACAGACTTCCTAATATTGAACTGTTTGCTTTTCTGAAAGAAAACCTATTCTTTTGATAAGGCACTAGATTCACTTCTGCATACATATTCATACGCTAACTTGAACTTTGGAGTTTTTTGATACTGTCTTTACCTTACCAAGTTACATTAAGGCTGACTTTATGAAGTGATTTAGGGAGTTTTCCAGGTTTCTTTGCCCTAGGACAGTAAAAAATAATATTTAATTATCTATTGTTCTTTAAAGGTTTAAAAGAACTTAAAGGACTTAACTGTGTGTCGACTCTTCAGGCTATTTTTTGTAATACTTAATCTCCAATTTTTCTATGGTAATTAATCTGCATATTTCCTACTTGTTGGGTCAGTTTTCTTAGAAAGTCATTCATAGCTCCTAGGTTTTCAGATGTGTTGCTCTTGAATTTTAGTAATCTATTATATTTGAATTTCCTTCTGCATCATTACCTCCTTTCTCATTCCATTCTTGTATAATTTGTTCTCTTTCTCTAAAATCAGGGTCAAAAGAGGATTTTCTATCTTATGGTGTCATCAAAAAACCAGCTTTTGGATTTATTTATGCAAGTTTGGGAGTTTTCTATTTTATTAATTTCAATTAGTATCTTTACTGCTTCCTTTCCTACCATTTTTGTTTCTAATTAAGATATACAGTAAGTTTACGTATTTTTTCTTTCTTCTTTAATAATAAAGACTTATTTAAGCCTATAGAATTGCCTCCGTGCTTGTTTTGGCAACACACATACTAAAATTAGAACAATAAAGAAAAGATTAGCATGTCCCTTATATAAGGATAACACCCAAATTCATGAAGTGTTTCATATTTTTATCAACTATACTTCAATTAAATAAATAAATTCTCCCCCCAAACCAGAAGTAACAACTCTCATCTCCTCACAGGTATAGAGATGTAAATTTTTTAAATGCCTTTTAGTACAGCTTTCATTTGGTCCCATGCTTTTTGGGAGGAAGTATTCTGATTTTAATTACTTATTGTGTATGTCATTTTAATTTTTAATTCCTTTTTGATCCAAATGCTATTGAGAAAGGTGTTTCTAATGCCTAATATTATTGTTAAAGTTATTGGAGTCACTTTTATTATTTATTACAAATTTTGTTGGATTCTGATCAGAGAATATGGCCATAAAACCTCTATTCTTTTTGGTTTATTAAGGGGTTTTTTTTTGTGGCGAAGTATAGAATGTTTTATACATATTCCATCGACCTACCAAGAAAATTAGACATATATATATAGTTACTATATAGTAATTACTTAAATATATATGCTATATATTACTATATGTAATATATCGATGTGTGCGTGTGTTGGAAGCAAAATTATCTCTGAACATTTAAAATTATAACCTGAACAACCCACCCTCACACGACATATTTATAGTTCCCCTTACTTAGCTTTTTACTATTTTTCATAGCATTTATCCTTTATGACTTTGCAACAAACTATATAACTTGCTTATAAAGTGCTTATTGTTTTATCCTTTGTCAACTCTGCATGAAGGTCAAGTCCACGAGAGTTGGGAATTTCTATGTCGTTCATTCATGTACCGGAAAAATCTACAACGGTGCCTGGCAAAAGGTAGGTGTTCAAGGAAGTATGTTGGCTAAATAAACAAATCATTACCAGATGATCATGCAAAGGGTAAGACAGGAATACTCCTGGTATTCATCCCCCCCACCCCCCACCACCATCTGTTTCAGTACCTTACTGCGTGTCAGAACCTCGCCAGTGCTGAGTTTTTACAGAGTAGCCTCACCCCGCCAGTAGGCTACTGTTAGGGCATATGAGAAGGAACCGGAGCTAGTGAAGGAGACTGTGGGTCAATGAGAAATGAATTCGCTTTATAAATGTACTCTCTATAAAAATTTATTGATCTCAAAAATGGCCGCAGTACCTAACTTTCCCATTCTATTGTGCTTTGCTCTACTCTCCGAACAAATTTTTAAAAGTCGGGCTGGGGAATCTTAAATGAACCAAGGGGGAGTCTAAAAGACACGGAGCCCTCGGCCACTAATCGCTTATCAACAGGACGACCTTGAATGGTTTTAGCAACGCGAGTGTCTCCGACAACCAGACCACCGAAGAGCCGCGACGGAAATGGAATGGGTTTCTCTGTGCTTCCGGGCTGCCTCCCGCTAGAGTCCAGGTCGGAAGGGCCCCGCGAGGGAGGGCCCCGCGAAAGAAGGACCCGTCTCACCCACAACCGCGCACGCCGACACTATGGGTCCGCTAAGGGAGCCCCAAAACCTCAGAGAGCGAAAAGCGCCAGCAGTAGCCAGATACGCCCCGCCCCACTCGCGAAGCCCTAACGCCAACAGCGCGCGCGCGCACGAGCAGCCGCCTTGCCAGCCACGACTCACAGTCCCGGCCCCGCCCCTCGGACCGGAAGGACTTACGGCACTTAGGGCGCCCGGCTGTCCCGTGGTTGCCTCGGTGATGTCGTGGGTTCAAGGGCTTCCCTGGGTCCGGGGCCCTGGAGTGGAAGGGGACGTGTTTGACGAGGAAGCGGACGAGGCTCTCCTAGTGCAGCGGGAATGGCGGAGTCACATGCAGAGACGAGTCAAAGTAAAACTACGTGGCGGGTGCGGGTCCCCCTTGAGAGCCGGGTAGTGGGGAGAGCGGCGCGGAGTAGTGAAGAAGCTGGGTCCCGAGAGCGGAGGCCAGAGTGGGTCGGGCCGGCGCGGCGGGCCCAACCCTTTCCCGCCCATTCCTTCCTGCGTCCTGCTGGGACTAATTAAGTCTGTCCAGGACAAGTACACAGCTTGCATGCGTTGCCTGAATGGGTGAGGAATCCAAAGTTAAGAGCGATTCAAGATACATGAGGAAAATGAACTTGAAGTTGTCAAAGGGCAAAAAAGGAAAGTTAATATGAATACTGATGGCTAGCTAAGATAAAGTTGGTTACTCTTTTACTTTTCGGTGTGAATTAATCCGTCTCTAATTTGTCTCACTATTCACTGATGAGGACTGAATGGTGAGGTCCACCTTCACCCAATGTCCTTGCCAATCATTAAATTGCCTCTAAATCTGCCCTCCTTTATTGTTTCAGTAAAGTAGTATTTACTTGGACCAACAATTATGTGGTCAATTTCAGAACGCTTTATGTGAGGCTGGGGCTAGACCAGTAAGTATTGAGCATCTTTTGAATGCTGTGGTACCATAGGAGATGCAGGACAAAATCTCTGCCCACAGAGATTTTGCAGTTTATGTGAATTTAGGTTATCAAGCAAAATTTCTAAAACCAGACTTAACCTTCCTTTTGCTGCACCAGTTTCCTCTCTTCCTACTTCAGTTAATTATCAAGACCTTCAGTAACCCTATTTACCACCCTCCTCACCTAACCACACCAGTTCACTCAGTTGCCAAGGGACCAGACTTGTTTCCTTTCTGTGAAGCCATTGTTGAACAGGGTTTGTAAAAACTGTACAGGAATTGTTATATTTAAATGTGCCAAATAAATCTGAACTTAAAAAAATAGGATAAATCAATAATAAACTTTTATGAGAGAAGCCTTCTACTTTATTTGTGAGGCTATTCCATATGTTATAGAACCACTGTGTTAACACAGGAAAGGCCTATTTCATCAATTTTCTAAATGGGTTCTATGACTTTCTAGAAAAAGATACAGTGGTTTACTTGGTGTTAGTTGCAGCTGCATTTCTTCAATACTTATTTTTAGGAGGGTTATAGAGATGGAGTAGATGCTGGCAAAGCTGTTACTCTTCAACAAGGCTTCAATCAAGGTTATAAGGAAGGTGCAGACGTCATTATAAACTATGGACAACTCAGAGGAACATTGAGGTAATTTTTTTTTATTTAAATGCTGAGTCATTTTTACCTCAGTCCTACTTGAGAATTTTATAAAAGTAGTATGTAAAAATAAAATGTTTAAACAGAAGTGCTTTTCCTAGTGTTAGATCCACAAAAGAGTACTGCAGAGCATACAATAATACTTAAAAAGCCAAAATCATCAATTCATCCACTTAATGTGTGAGCCAGATGTTGTCCTTTATTGCAAAGAAATACTATGGGAAGGTGTATATTTTTTTCTTCCTAAACTGCCACTAGTCTATATCTCAAAGTAATTAAAAAGGTCAGGTTTTGAATCAAGCTTTTAGTCTTGCACATGTAGCAGAACAGAATATGACAGACCTCTAGACTAGAAGTACATGATGAAAATCATACCTGGTAATAGAAAAATAATTCCATTTACTTCAGTCCTGAACATGGAGTACCTGTCAGGATTCTGTAGTTATAATGGCATATATCAGAGCCAAGTGGTCAAAGGGCACATGGAGGTAGGAGCATGACAGGCTTGTCCTCTTTGATACTTTATACCTCTTAAACTGTCCTCTATAGGAAAAAAAACATAAAATGTGTCAAAGAATCACTGATTTTAAAAAGATTAGAAAATAGAAGTTATCAAAACAAAAAAAATCAGTGTTTGAGGTTTTAGAAAATGCAAGTGTCAGGAGTCAGAGTTTATTGTCTACTACAGCAGGAAAATGATCAAGTATTTTCACAAAGTTAAGTTAATCTTTTATAAGCTTAGAAAGTTTATTACTATATCTTTTATATAATTGATTGCATTTTCAAATCATTACTTTTCACAACCGTTATTTTGTCATGACTACCTGAACAATCTGAAATGTCAAAAATAAAAGTACTCTCTGTACTAGGAAAATAAAGAAAAATATTTATTACAATTAGAAAGATTCTTATCTTCTTCAAGAAATTTGTTAACCCAAAACAGTATCTACTCTATAACAAAGTTGGGAAAATGAAGTTACCTCAAAACTTTTTTCTAACCTTCAGTTTTGATGGCAAGCATCTATATGATTAGGACAATGGTTTTCAGCCTTGACTGTACCTTGGTATAATCTGGGAAACTTTAAAAAAATACTACCCCCAGAGATTCTGATTTAATTAGTCTGGGGTGTGATCTTGGTCTTGATTGTTTTAAGAGCTCCCTAGGTGATTCTGTTTTGCATCCAAGATTGAGAATCACTAGGCTAGAAGCAGTTTGATGTCCTTAAAGAAAAAACTAACTTTTCTGACCTCCTCTCTTTCCTCTGAGTTGTATCCCTCTTCAACATAAGCTACATAGTCATAAGGAAAAAATCTAAAACCAGGAAAAGTGAATGAATGTGAAGCTGTGAAGGAGGGGTTCTGAATTATAAGCAGTCTGTATGATTTATTCCAATTGTTTGATTTCTATTGAAAGATAATTTTTTTTAAATACATTTTACCATCATTAGTTACTGATTTTGACTTGCATTATTATCAATTTATTTTTGCCTGGTGTTATCTGGAAGACAGATATGTAGGGCTTAACATTAAAAATTCTAAAAGCCATGATTGTTCAATTTCTTTTCCTATTTAACTCTTGTTTATATTTTTTGTTCAGTGCTTTGCTCTCCTGGTGTCATCTTCATGACAGTACTTCAGCTTTGATCAGTAAAATAAATAATCTTCTGGATGCAGTTGGCCAGTGTGAAGAGTATGTGCTCAAACATCTGAAATCAATCACTTCAGAACCCCATGTTGTAGATTTATTGGACTCTCTTCAGGATATGAACCTTTGTCATGTAGCTCTAGCTGAGAAAAAGATTGATGAAGCTAAAGACGAAAGACTCTGTAAAAATAATGCTGAGTTTAACAAAAATTGTAGCAAAAGTCTTAGTGGGGTAGATTGTTCATTTTTAGAATGTTGTAGAACACAGGAGCATGCACATTCCGAAAATCCAAGCCTTGCTTGGGTTTTAGAACAGACAACCAATTTAGTAAAACAGCTGGGAGTATCAGTAGATGTTCTACAGCACCTCAAACAACTATAAAAATTACCTTCACTTTTCTAATGAAAATAACATTCAGAACATTTCTTAAAGCACTTTGTTCTTAAACTAACCAAAGTTTGTACTGGTTTCTACACTGAACACTATTTCCAGGTTGTCCTTCATGGAAGTTTGAAATGTCTTCAGAACTAACACTATTAAATATAATACAAGCCTTTTTTTCTTTGTCACTGGTAATTTTTATGTAAAGAAAGCTCAAGTTCTAGTTATTATTTTCATTTTCAAATTTCTTATCCAAACCAAGCATTTTCAGACTAATTAGCTAAAGTTAACAGGAATCAAACATATTTTGTAAGGATCTACCTCTACTTCCTGCTGCCAGCACCAGATGGTTAGGAATCAGACCAGAATTACCACACATGACCTAAAGGCTGACATTGTAAATAGATAGATGCACATAAATATATAGAGATGTGTAGGTGTAAGAAACTGAATAAATGTCGATACGGATAGTTAGAAACAAAATACTAAAATTCATATTAGTTTTATGTTAATTAAAAAGTAAGGACATAAAATTCTATGAAAAATACAGAAAATACATTTCGTGCTCAAGTACGTACTTAGTTCTTAACAAGTATTTGGAGTCAGTGTTGCCTAACAATGTGCCAGATTATTTCTAAACTGCAGCTTTGCTTCATATTCACATAGGAATAAAATACTGAAACCACTGATTTCTGTATTACCTGTAGTAATATTCTTAGTCTAGCATAAATAAAATTAGATTCAAACTTTTGCTCCAGGACCTAAGCATATAAGATCAGGAAGGACTTTTCATCACTTTTTTGCCTGAAACAAATTAATGTGAGGTGTCTGATTTCAGAGGAGCCCAAATAAGTGTCCCTCATTGATAGCCTTAATTGCTTTTCACCAGTATATCTACCATCTACTCTAAAAGACATATGTACTGAGATATAAGAGAATCTGATAAATAGGTCTTTCAAGAGGTTAAGAAAATGAACTACTGTGATCTTAAAACCTTCTCAAAGAAACTGAAACAACCAATTCGACATCTCAAGCATTCAAATAGATTATTTCAAGACTTACTAAAATGTTCAAGATATCAAGTGACATTTGACAGCTTGTTTAAAATGCTTGTATCTCTTTAGATGTAAACAATAAACAATTTTAGAAGTTTACTAATTTGTTTTATATGTTTCTTCCATATTTATGGATGCAGCAAAAATCTCAAGTCTATGGGTTCTCATAAGCAGTCTCTAAAGTCTTAATGTTGTCCTGCCCTGCATATTAAATATGAACTACCCATCTCTAATGGTGCATCTCAAGAAGGTCACCAAGTGGCAATTTCAAGAGTGCAGTAAATCTTGGGATTTTTCTGGGCTCTCCCTGATAGGATTTCCTGAAGAAACACCCCTTGTCACCATTGGAAACATGGTGTTTTTGTGCAGATGTTCAAAGAAAAATCAAGAGAATTAGCTGAGTTGATGAGGCCATTTGCTTGAAAACATGTCTTAAATTTGCTTTGCTTTTTTAAAAGGACAGACAAAAGTTCCTGGACTGCAGAGGAATGTTAATGGTGTGCTCAGTATACCTATGTTCCATGAACATGAACCTTTCTACCAAAACCAGCAAAAGTGAGGGAAAGAAATCTCACTCTCCTTGTATCTTTTGCCTCATATGCTATGGGCCTTTGAGGTCTTGCCATGAAAAGAACCTAGATGGACATACACGTAAGGCAAGAGTGTCCCAGCATAGGTGTAGTTTCAAGGCCCAGCACTTAGACCTTAGGCCTGGGTGATACGGCTTCCTTAAAAGCAGTTTTCACCTTAAGTTATTTCTGGATGCTGACATACCTGGAGTTTGAGGGGGGTTTTTTGTTTCGTTTTTTAAGGGAAGGGAGAAACCCACAATACCATGCTTTTCTGACATATTTGTTGATAGATCTGCTGAGGCCAACAAAATTTTTGTACCGTAAAAACAAGAAGCAAGCAGCTGAATTCACCTTCCTGCATCCTTACCTCATATCCTTGGCACTGTGTATTTACTGCTTTTGTGGTAAGCTAAAATAAAAACCTTGAACGAAGGGCATGTTGTGATTCTAGGCCATCTACAACCTAAAATTAAAGCTTTGTATTCCAGCCTAAGATTACAGAGAAATAAATTAGAGAAAGGTATATAAATACATACAGCAATAGAGCCCTTATTTTTAAATCTTATGTTTAATTTCAGACCAATTGATGAAGTAAATGTCATATGCTATGTTAATAAACTACCGATCAGACTCCCTGCTCTACAGAAATTCTCAAATCTCCATCTTGAAAATGCTTCACCAAAGTTTGCTTTTCTTGCTTCTGCTCCCACTTAACTGCCTTTACCTAGCAGACACTGGAAGAGGAGTCTGTCACTGTCTCATGTTGCCCTCTCCCCATTCACTCCTCAGCTTCACACTGCCTTTTGCTAAGGTCACTGATGGGTAAAGTCACAGGGTTGCCCCCCACTGACTTGTTTTCTGTCCTCTCACTTGGGTCCTCCACCATTGGACATGATGAACTATCCCCAACTTTTACAGTCACTCTGCTTATCTTCTGCAGCAGCTCTTTTTCTTCTCATCCTACTTATTACTGTTCCCTCACTTTTCTTTCACTTTGCTAACTCTCCCTCCTTGGCTTGCCTCTTAAATGTGAGGATTTCATGGAGTTTCATTCTTGGTCCTCTTTTTGTTTTTATGCTCTAACCAGATAATCTCACATACTCCTATGGTTTCAGTTATACTGACTATCCTAAAGCTAATACTCCAGCTCCCATCCCTGTCCCAAGCTCTGAATCTGGATTTCCATGCAGTTGCCCATGCCTGTCTTGGTGGCATAGACATACAGATGCACACCATGTCTACAGCTGACCTCATATTCCTTCTCTCTCCTTCCCATCCCAAACTGCTTTGCCTTTCATATTTACAACCTGTTAATATCATCTCTCCACTCAAATCTAGAAACCTTTTTTTAAACTGAGGTATAATTGATACATAACATACTAGTTTCATATATACAACAATGATTTGATATTTGCATGTATTAGAAAAGGATCACAGTTTAGTTAACAGAGTTGAAAATTATTTTCTTGTTATGAGAGCTAAGATCTCTCAGCAACTTTCACATATACAACAGTATTATTAACTATAGTCACCATGCTGAATATTACATCCTCATGACTGACTTTATAACTGGAAGTTTGTAAAAGCTAGAAACCTTTAAATCTGCTTTTCCTGTACTAACATACCCTACTTCCTATTGAGTGTTTTTGTATCTTACTTCAGAACATATGTTTTGTATCTTACTTCAGAACATATCCTTTCATTCTAATCATCAGATTTTCATTAACTTTTACACCTGCCTCATGACTAATGTTAGTATATCTAAACTAGCTGCACTCTTCCTGTCCATGCTCCATGTCACCATTATCTACCTAAACAGGTTACTTCCACAATTTAAAACCTGTATGTATTCCCCTTTTTCTACTGGGTAAATTATACATTTGGATTTCATTTCTAGGCCGAAGCAGCATTGTCAGTCTGATTTCCCATCCTGCCTCCTGCTCCACCATGCACACTACACTTCTTTATGGGCAATCCTACAGTGCTTTATGGATAGTTCCCAACTTCTAATTTTATTCATTGCTGATTCTTCTGCCTAGAATAATTTATTCCACATCCTTCCCAGCAAATTCCTATTTATCCTTCAATACCAGTTCAAATTTCAGCTTTTTTTCTCAGGCAGAGTTAGTTGCTCTTCCCAGTGTTCCCTCTGCGTCACTTTGAGTATCTCAATCCTCAGATTTATTCAGGAAAGTACCTTGTTCATTGTTACATCCCAAGCGTTTAGCATCATATACTGTACATAGATTATGTAGGTGGTGCTTAATGAGAGAAAAAATAACTAAATGAACCTAGCCCAATGAGTATAAAACCAGAAATTTAGGATTGCAAAATACATCATGTTCTATTCTTTTAAGAGGGGAAAACAAACCTTTATGTTTGTCTTTTTTTTCTCTTCATTTTGCATGTTACTAAAATCCACATATCCAAATTGTGTCATCATCTTATGCTGGGCTGAATAGTAACATAAAGACAATAATATTTACCAATCACTAAAAATTATACTAATAAATATTACAATACCATTTTTAAAGATACAAGATTATATTTGAAATACAGTTTTAGCTATTAAGAGAGAACAAAGAAACTCCAAAAAAAAAAAGCCAGAAGAAAACACAAGAATAGTTTCTAGCAGGACACCTGGTGCATAGTATCCTAACGGTAAGGAAGAGTTGGAGGAAACACAGGAGTAGAAAAGCAATAGCTAACGGTGTTCACAATATACAGGCACTATTGTGAAAAGTTTACATATATTAATTTGTTTACTCTTAACAACCGTACGCAGCAGAACTATTAGAGGTGAGGAAGGGGCACGTGGCAGATGAGTAGTTTGCCAATTCCCGGCTCCTGAGTAGCCCAGCTCCAGAGTTTGCGCTCAGGGTCGATGTGTACCAAATGACAGCACAGTTGCAGCGATTGTTCCTAGTAGAGGGATGATAAACTGCATTTTCCTCTTGCTGTTAAATTCTGCTTTTCCGTATTTTTCAAATATTCCCATTAATGAGTATTATTTTACACTAGAATGTGTATAGTAAGCAGCTACAAGGAATGAAAAGTTTACCAGAATTTTGTTTGCTATACACCTGGAGAAATACCATTCCCTACTGCGAGGAAAGAATCTATTATCTAGGAAGTAGTTTAGCATATACAGAAACTAAGTTCTCCTTGGACTCCTTAGACTTTCTACACTCTTCATGGAGAGGATAATTTGTATCACTCACTTTGTGATAGTGGTTCTTTAGCTTTCGTAAATTCCTACCTAACTTTAAACAGGATGTTAGCTCTACTTCTAAATAAATACAGGTATTGCTAAAGATCCTCCAAAAAAAAAGCCAAGAATCTTTAATATACGCCAAACTCCATTTTCTTGTCCTATAAATAGTGTGATTTAGCGGCGTATAGTCAGAACCACCTACAACAGATTCCATGGTACGCAAGTTAAATCCTCGTGTTCACCATAGACAAGGGAGGCTGGGTACGTCCGGATCCTGTTTATTTCCGAGGAGCTGTTGAATTAGTCAAGGCCACTTGGTGGTGCTGGTGCTCCCTAGTACGCCCCGTGCTCTCTGCTTAGTCGTCAAGGTCACGGGGCAAGCCAAGGATTATCCCTAAAGCTATGCCAAACAGATCGAATCACTGTAAAATTGGGTGCGTTTTCTGAGGTAAACCAAAAAACAAGAAATGTGGGTGTCTTCCTTTTTCTTAATTGTAGGGTAAGAATTTTTCTCTCAACCAATCATAAGGAAACTTGTTCACAAGAAAAAAGCACTTTTTTTTCCAGATCCTTCAAATGTGTATAATAATCTATTTAGAATCCAAAGTATATAGCCTTCAATCAGAAGTAATATAAAATTATAATTTCATATACCTAAAGCACGTCTACGTTGTCAGGTCTAAACTGATTCAAACAACAGTCCTAATGATCTGCCTTCACAACCCCTGCATGCTTCCGTTGGTAACTCTATTTCTGTTCTCTCTCTTTAACATACCCAAACACAACTTCTCAGGATTTAAAGCCAGGGAGAGACAACACCTTACTTTGTTAACCTATCAAATATGTCACAACCCTTTTTTTATCAAATCTACAACCACATAGGTTTTCCTCATACCAAATACAACTCAGCCCAGCTAATATTTAAGCCTGTTTCCTTAAGAGTTACATAGTCACCCTTATGTAGTATTTCTTTGTTACCTGTAGAATAAATATATGGCTCTATAAGGAATTTTTTAACATAAGACATTAATGATTTGCCAAATCCCTTGCAATAATAAAATAGGAATGATTTGAATACAATAATACTGACAGTCCTTGTCAATAAAGCAAAACTGGACTGAAAAAAGGATACAATGTAAATCATCTGAAAACAATCTTCCTTTTTCTTACTTGGAAACATTGCAAAACACCTTTCTTCCAAAATCAGATCCTAAAACAACCAGGGACTCAAATTAGAGTGATTTTAAACTATACCATGAAACATCAATTCATACTTCTGGAACCTTCAGTGATAAGGCCACTTGTTAAAAACA